ACCATCTTATTTACCCAAACTATTTTCCTTAAACGGCATTTTTCCCCCTTTCTTGCATTGTTTTTCATCTTTATTTTACTATTGTTGTTATATATGAGTTTTTTTTTAATATGTAGGAAAGATCTGGCCTATCTTGTTCTTAATAATTGCTACATGAGTTAATCAGTTCATCTTCCACTCGTATCTGTGATACTTAAGCCATTTTCTTCTAGTTTCTTTATTTAAAACATTTATAAAAATATACATAACTTTAAACAACACAGAATTTATTATATTGTGTAACGGGGAGATTTTGATTTTTCTCCAGGTCGAGAACATGTACAGACAAGTGATGCTGTGGTCCCTGATATCGGGGAGAGAGCAGCTCTGACCCTCAGTGTCCTCATCTACAAAACAGCTGTCACTCCCAGTCACTGAGTAGTGTGAGATGACGATTAAAGATGACGATGAGTAAATCGGTGTGAGAGCACTTCGTGCTTGGCAAGATACAATATAAAACGGAAGTCATTATCACCATATAACCATCTGGTTAGGATGTATCTTTTTTTTTTAAGTGAAAGAAACTCTTTCACCTTCAAGTTGTAATCAAAGAAAACACACAAGTTGACTCTGGAAACAGTCCAAACGTTCAAAGAACACAAAAGACTACAATGTGAGGACTACAATGTTCAAAGACGTTTTTTAAAAAGGGAGAGGTGGGGGAGAGGAGCAAAAATCTTATGAGACTTCAACCATTTGCCTGAGCCATAAAGTAGCTTTAAGTAAGAAAATCCTACCTTCTTTTGAGCCAACAGTGTTGAAGTAACCAGCAGAGAAACCTCCACTAAAGGCTCCATGAAACCGTTTATACCTTCCTTTTTCATCTCTGACGGTCTGATCTTGAAGAGGAATTGGTTTCTTTGGTCTCTCACCTAAAAAAAAAATATTTTGAATGAGAGAGAAGGGGATGGTGGATTAGAAAGAATTTAGGGAAAAGATCATTTCTTAAACGTAGCTTGTTCACTTCTTCTAACTTCAAGTATAACAATTTTTTGTTGCTCTTTTGGAGGGGGCAGGTAATTAGGTTTCTTTATGTATTTTTTAATGTATTTTTTAATTAATATTTTATTTTATTTTTTAATGGAGGTACTGGGGATTGAACCCAGGACTCTGTGCATGCTAAGCACATACTCTACAGCTAAGCTATACGCTCCCCCTCAAATACAACAACTTTAAGTTGCTATTCCTAGACCTTAACAGCTTATATAGTTCAGAACACCATATTTTATCAAGCTTCTTTATAGTTCTAAGACAATTATAGATTATCTCTTATTTATGTTAGAAATATGTTTTAGCATAAATGGCCTGCCTTTCCCACTAAGTTCCATTATGAAAACTGAATTACATTGGGGGGAGGGTTCAAACAGACGGAAGGTGAAATCTGCTGGCAGTAAAGAAGGTAAGTTGCTGGGGTGGCATGTGGCATGTAGAGGTTTTTAATATCTCTTCTAGAACTTCATAGCATCCCCAAATCCAGAATTTTTCCATTGGTGCTGTTCAATTTCCCCAAATCTTAAGAGTGTTCTTATTTCTGGGACTCTCCTGATTCCACAGTTACTGTTCTTTAAACTTATTTCTTTTCCTCCTCTGCTGAAAAGGGCTGGGTTGCAACATCACACAAGTGAAAAGGAACTCAAAACATCTTAGCCTCACCTAAAAATTCCTTAGGTTTAAAGTTTCAGGTACCATGAGACAAATGACTGCCTCATTTTTATCAACTCCAATTCAAAATTCTGAATCTACTTCAAATTAAAAGTAACCATCAAGTTATTTTCAAATATTCAATACAGAAAGTAAGTTCCACATTGTGCTGTACACCAGAAATTGACACACTGTAACTGAATGCACTTCAATTAAAAAAAAAAGAAAGAATGTTAGTTTCACAACAGTTAAGCACTAGGGTTGAGAGACGCAGCACTCTGCATTTTAAAGCCAAGTCCACCTTTACTAGCACAAGGGCTTTGGTCATCGTAACTTCTCTGTACCTCAATTTCCTCATCTGCAAAATGGGGATGACACTAACAGTAATATCTATTTCATAGAGCTGTTACACAAATTGGATCAGATAATGCCTGGAAAGTGCTTAGCAAGAAGAGGGATACACAATAAATACCTTTCAAGTACTAGCTGTTATTATTATTATTATTGTTATTATTATTATTATTACTATTACTATTACTATTATTATTATTATTACATACAGTAGGTAAGATGTGTCCTAAAGCCCATATATACCTGTCGCTTCAATAAATAAGCCAGTTATTACTTCTGGATGATGAAACAAAAAGTAAAGAAACTTCTAGCCTCATAGTCCTAAATTTTTACTTGCAGCTTATGGAGTCTTTGGGTCATTTTTAGAATATAACCCACAGCAGGGCAGTCAAGAACTTAGGTTCTGAAGACAGGAGATCTGGGTTCAAATCCCCCTACCCTACTACTTGCTAGCTTTTTGATCTTGGACAAGTTACTTGATCTCTCTAAGCCTCAGCCTCTACAACTGTAAAATCAGGGTAATACAGGAACGCATCTTGTAGGATGGCGCCGAGGATTAAAAACCACATGCAGAGAGTTGAGCACAGTGCCTGGCCAGAGCAAAGCTCAGTTAATATCAGCTACAATTTCATTTCACTCTAAGGAACTGAATTACAACTTGGGTCCCACAATCCAAGATTTTCACCATTTCTTAAAAATACAGTACACACACTCCACTCCTGCATATGCATCTGGCCTGACTCATGGCTGAGGTGGGGTTACCTCAATCTCAACCTCAGCACTGTTGACACTTTGTGCTGGCTAATTCTTAGTTGTGGGGGACTGTCTTGTACACCATACGATGGTTAGCAGCACCCCTAGCCTGGAACACTAGATGCAATAACATCCTCCTCCCAAAAAAGCATGACAACCAAAAATGTCTCTAGACGTTGCCAAATGTCCGGGGTGGGTGGGCAGCAAAATCATCCCTGGTTGAGAACCACCAGGCTGAGGTGAGAGAGGATAGTTCCTGCCAATGCTAGGTTCTGCTCTTGCTCTGTTCTCCAGATGCCCCTGATCTGGAAGCAAGATCTGCAGACAACTAAGTACAACCTGACAGCAGATGATGAGGGCCACTCAGGGTGGCTGGCTAGGTCCCACAGGCCTCCTGAGGAGGAGGGGCCACCTCTATTCACAGCACAGGAAAACTCCAGGGAGGAGGTGGCATTTCAGCCTGGCCCTGTTATAATTATTGTTACTAATAACAGCTAATCCTTTCCTTTCACACCTGTTGTCTCATTTATCATACTCTGATAAGGATGCTCTGAGTAAGTAACTGCCCTAAGGTCCACAGCTAATAAGCAGAAGTCAGATCTCAACTCTGCCCCTAAGCCAAGAATGCAACTCATTCTGTCCTCAACTTGTTCCCCACCAAAAGTTTACTGAGGGCCTTACAGTGAAAGCAGCCCTGTTCTAGACGCTGGGTGTGGAAAAGTACACACAACTCCGTCCCTGCCCCAGGGCGCTCAGAGCCCGGAAGAGGAGACCTGCATGTACAAGAATTCTTCTGACAATGTGCAAGAACCACAACACCAGAGTCACCCGAGGCATGAGCAGAATTTGACAGCTGCAGGTAGAGACACAATTCCCCACAGAGGCGTTACCTCCATCAGTAAACAGGAGGTCTAAAAGGGTAGGTCAGATGTTTTGAGAAAGTAGTCTAGTCTGACTGACAGAAAATGGAACGGGAGGGGCAGATAGTGTAGAGGGCCTTGAAGTGGTACTGCGGGGTCTGTGGTATGTCCTGCGGGGGAAGGGAGCCACAGACAGCTTTAAATGGGAGAGTCACAGCAACAAGGAAGAGGAAAATGGTCCTAAATTAATCTGAGGGCAGGATGAACTGACGATGAGGAGAGTTCTACAGCCAAGTGAACTTGTCTAAGGAAAGAGTAAATACACACTGGTGTCCCTTCCTTCCAGGCTGGAGGGCCTCTGTGTCTACGTGTGACAGTTCGGCGACTGTCTCTTAACCAATAAACCATTCTGTGAGAGCCAGCAACTTTAATTAAGTAATGGAGTCTCTCCTCTACCAGTGTTTGTCTAACCTGTCATTAAAACTTCAAAGCAGGAAGTAAAGGTCTAGTATGTTATATTGTAAAATGTAGTCAGAGTGCATTTAAACTTCAAAGGGCTTAGGAAACAACCAATCAATCCTCAAAAACTCCTAGTACTGAGAAGTTAAAGGACAATTTTAGGCCAGGAGAAAAAAAAAGTCCCTTCCTTCCACTTCAACAGTCTGGCTAGACCATTAGGCTTTGTTTTAGGTTTCGTACACCATCAAAACAGGAAGGATTTGCTCTACACTGGAATTTGACACAACATTGTAAAATGGTTATAAATCAATTAAAAAATGTTAAAAAAATTAAAAATTAAAAAAAAAACAGGAAGAATTAGAAAAATACAGGTCAAATAGTTGATGAATTACAGTATGTCACTTCACGAGGAAACAATCTCCAGACCAGAAATATAGGAATGACACAAACTCCTGCCTAACATGGCTGTCATACTCTCCACCCATGCATGTTTAACCCTGTCCTCTTCCTGCATACCTAAATTCTAACCAGTTTAAGGGATCCCATTCTGCTTTCTTAGGTTTCCCTGTTAGCTTGAGTAGGTTATTTCCTGTCTACATCACACACTTTATCACTTGTGAACCTTGTACTTTTGTTCTCAACTAGATTTGAAACTGCTTAAATTAAGGATCCTTGTCAACAAATTTCTTGAGATCATGGGGTGACGTGTTTGCCAATAAAGTGAACGTGATCTTATTGCATTAAAGAAATACAGTCTAAAATGATGGACGTATCAGTGATGGCTCTGCTCTACCCACACTCTGGTCCCATACTTGGAGAAAGGCTTTGACAAATTAGGATTAAGGGGACTCTAAACTGAAAGAGAACTGAGGATGTTGAGTGCAGTACAGAGATGTCTTAGAGGAAATGCAAGGGGTGTTGTTTTATTTTGTTTTGTTTTAAGGGTGTTTTTAAACACATAAGCAGCTTTCAGGAGACAAGCATTTCTCTGTCTTTTGTAACCAGAGGGCAGAAACAAGGCCAGCATCTTGCAGAAGCTTCTAATGATTAGACCTGTTTGCAGGGAATAAAAGGGTAATCGGGGAATAAAAGGTAATCAGCAATGTCCCAGAAATACAACTACACTGACGTGATGGGGAAAGGGGAGAGTCTGCAAAAACTCCTAGCTCACCATATTTCCTCTGCCTTTCCTGCAGGGCTAGAAGTGCCATCAGTCTTTATTGGCCAGTCAATCCATACTTCACTGAACAAATCAAGTCGTTAAGTGGATAAGATCAGAAACATGGGAGAGAATTTTGCTTCACCTTGCCCTCACCCCTACATTCCACCAGCAAGTCCGGTCAGCTCTGCTTTCAAACTACATCTCAACCCAGAGTACTACCGTCCATCGCCACGGCCAACACTCCAGTGCAAGTCACCATAATTGCCAGGCCTCTTTGTGCTAATCTCCCTACTTCACTCTTGCCCACCCCTAACCTGCCTACCCTCAAAATCGAGGTCATCATCTTTAAAACATACATCCCTCCCTGTGTAAACTGCCCCGTCCCCACGACTTTTCTACACTTAGTATAAAATACAAACTCCCTGACCACACTAAGTGAGATCCAACCCTCTCTGATACCATCTTCTGTCAGCCGCCCCCTGGTGCTGTTTGCTCCACCCACATCAGGCCTGCTTGTCCCTCAATTTGCCAAAACAGCTCCGACTTTAGAGCCTTTGCACTTGTTCGCTCTGCCCAAATTGTTCGTTCCCCCAGATCTTCATACGGTAGGTTCCTTCTCTATTTCAAGTCTGAGCTCAAATGTCCTCTCCTAAGAAACACACTGCCTGCCCACCACCCCCGCGCCCCGCTCTCACACGTTTGTCATCTTTCTATTTCCCATCCCGCCGGGCCTCCCATCCGTCCCTCCAAAACGTGAGCACCCGGAAAGCACAGCGCCCGCCGCTCCGGTCGCTGTACGCAGGGCCCGCAGCAGAAGAGACTTTTCCCCAGGCTAGACAAGGTATGGAACAGGATTGTGCGTTTTTGCCCAAATTTTAGACCCCCTGGCCTGTTTTCCACAGACCCCGGCGTCCAATCTGGCCCGCACCTTCTTCCAGGGGCTCCAGGCCCGTCCCATAGCTGACCAAATCCTCATCGCTGTCGCTGTCCAGCGCCGCCATCCTGCTCCCTTCCGGGCCCCGCCCCCTCGCTACGGAGGCCTCAGCGGGCCAAATCTCTTTCGCTCTTTCTCCTCCGCGAACCGAAGACGCTCTAAGCGCGAAATTTCGGAACACGCTCACCTAGCCCGGCAAGCCTCTCGCCTCGGTTCTGCGCCTGGAGGTCCTCAAACTCGTCTTATGCAAGGCGGACCTGGGCAGGAGCGTGCGCGCGCGCACACACACACACTCTGTATATTATCATCCTTAGGTTTACATAAGCGGAGTCCCCTTCCAGACCTCTTGAAAGGATTATTCACAGACACGAGAACCCTGATGGCCATGGTGAAGGCAGCTTGGGACAACACTTGATCAAGGAGAAAAATAAAGGAAGAAGAGATTAAACGAAAAGGAGGGGAGAAAAAGGTTGAGGGGGCGAGAGGAAAACAGGAATAAAGAGAGAGAAACAGAAAGAAAACTGGAAAGAGAAAGAAAAAGAGAAAAACCAAGCAGAAAAGCAAAAAGTGAAGTGAGGTGGGGTTAGTGACGCTGAGGGCCCCCTTATTGAACCTAAAGAAACAAACTTCTGTCAAATGGGGCGCCATTATCCTACCCCAAACTTCCTTCTTAGACAAGAGAGAAATGAAACTCAGCTAGTAAAAGGTGAGGTTGAAATGAAAACCAGACCCTAAGCCCAGGTTTTCAAAACGTGAGTCAGAAGTCTGCGTGAAGATGTTGTTAAAATGGCCCTCCTACCCATCCCCCAGGCCTCCTGAATCATAATCAAGCACACTCTGGCCTCAGGGCCTTTGCATTCACTGCTCCCTCTGCTTGAAATGTTTCTCTCCCCCACCCCTCCTCCCAGATACCACGCGCTTGACTCATTGCCTCACCTCTTTCAGGTCTCTGTTCAAAGGTTACTTTCTTAGTGAAGACTTCTCTAACTCTATTTTTGAAACAACCCTTAAGATCTGTGCGCTGGGCCCCGGAGCGGGACCCGGAGGGCGAGGGGTGGGGCCAGAGGGTGGGAGGGATGGGCGGGGACGGGGCGGGGGTCCAGGCCCGAGCGCTGGAGACCCCAGTCCCCGGAAGGAGGGATCTCTGACCCGCCTGGGCTCCGCTTCCAGACGAGAGGGTCCGGAGCGCCCAGCTCCCCGGGATTTGGCTGGCCGGGGGCTCTGGGCTGCGACGCGGCGCCGTATCACCGGCGAGGCCTCGGGCGCCCGCTGACCCTGAGCGGCTCCTCCAGCGATGTGACTCAGCCAAGTGCCCTTGGCTCTCCGGGCCCACCTTCTCTCTGTAAAACCGCGGAGCGGTCTGGACCACGTCCCTGCTCCCTCCTCCAGGCTAGGCTGTTATCGCTCTGCCTGTGACCGACATGGGGCCTTTGTAGCCCGAGGCCTTCTTAGGAGGCCTTAGCTCTGCCAGGCCCACACCCACAGAGTGCATTAATAAACACTCACAAAGGTATTTACCATTTTGCTTGTGAAAAGAAGGGAAAAAAAGAAAAAAACCAACCCTTACTCTACTATATATTTTATATGTTAAAATGAGTATTTTAAATTTTTGTTTTATATATTTTATATTACCCTACGATACATTTTCTGCAACATTTATCACCTTCCATAATTTGGTTTACTTATTAGGTCTATTGTCTTTCCCCATTGGAATGTAAGCTCCAAGTAGACAGATTTGGGCCAGTTTTTTTCTTTCTTTCTTTGCTGTATCAGAGCTTAGAACAGTGCTTGGAATGTAGTAAGCACTCAAATAATTTTGAAGAAAAGAATAAATAACTGATTGAGTAAGTCATTGTCCATGACTTTTTTTTTAAAAAAAAAAGTTATTTTAAAAACACAGCCTAGAAGCTTTTGGCAGGTCTCCCATTGAAAAGTGAAGTCCATGTCTCCTCCCCTTGAACCTAGGCTCCATGACTGCTTGACCAAAAGAATACAGTGAAAGTGACAATATAACATTGCCCACACCCAACCTTTAAGAAACTGGTAGCTACAACTTTATGTTTCTTGGGATGCTGGCCCTTGATGGACCCAGCCTCCATTCTGTGCAGAAGCCTAGGCCATGAGGAGAGGCTATGTGTGGGCATTCCAGCCCATGACCCAGCCAAGGTTCCGGTAACAATCAGTATCAATCGCCAGACACGTAAGCAAGGAAGACTCAAAATGACTCCATTCTTGGGAGGGTATAGCTCAAGTGGTAGAGTGCATAATTAGCATGCACAAGGTCCTAGGTTCAATCCCCAGTACCTCCTTGAAAAATAAATAAATAAACCTAATCACCTGCCCCCTCAACGAAAAATTTTAAATAAATAAATTAAATTAAGTTAAACACACACACACACACACACACACACACACTCAAATGACTCCATTTCTAACAACCATCTGCCTGTAACTGCATAGACTACAAGCAAGAACCTCCTAGCTGAGTTTAGTCACCTCTGGAACCATGAGCGATAATAATAAAATGATTGTTCTTGTTCGGACCCATTAAGATTTGGGGTAGTTTGTTAACAACAATAGGTAACTGGAATGACGTAAATGATAGAAAACTATAAAGCATTTAAAAATGCTGATGGAGAATGATCGCCAACATATGCTGTTTAATGAGCAAAATCAGAGGAGACAGAGTACACAGGGTGTTGCCATTTATATTAAAAGAAAACATAAATAGCCAGATGTATTGTGGCCATTACGTCTACAACATAGGGATACAGTACATCCACAAATATGCTATAATATATCTGAATTGAACTCCCCAAAGAAAGTGATAACAGTTGTTGCCACTGATCAAAGGAAATCAGGGTAAGAGAGATACATGTATACAGCATTGTATCATTTGAATTTTTATTTTTAGCTACCTCCATGGTATTGTTTCCAAAACACTTTATGTCTGTGTCTTAGTTTTCATTTTAAAGGTTTTTGTATGTATTAGCCCCTCTCCTTCCTTGAGAAATTTTAAGTACAAAAGGGAAAGCATCCATCTTTGTTTCTTGAAGCCCTGCAGGGACCCAGCATCATCCTTTGACCATCAACTGTCAGTGGGAATAAATGCAGATATTGAAAGTAAAGAAGGTTGGGGGCTAGTCCATACACATAGACAAATCATGAAGCTCCATGATTTTATTTATAAACTACCTCCAACTAATTTTCTTACAGCTTATTGCTACTAAAGAGGCAAGCAAAAAAACAATAAATTTATTACTGGAAGTTTATTTAATTGGATTTCTGACGACCACAAGCATTTGGTGAAACAGTAATAACCAATCTTTCTGGTCTTCAGAAGGAGCGACCGGGTGCTTCATCTGCAACCCTTGTCACTTACGTACCCAATGCTCCGGATTCTTGGCATCAGGAACCTACAAACAATGCACTTTTATGCAAAGCTGTAGAAGCATTAATACCATGTACCCTTCCTTCCTTACTCAGACAAGGAAGAAAGCACAAATGTCAGGATCTTATCAGGAAACTGCACATAGGAAGATGAGCTGAATCACCTGGGCAGGGAGTAATTTCTTCCTCATGGTCCACACATGAGTGTTGGCAGTGGGATGATTATTCATGACATACAAAGAAAACTGCTCTATATCTTGGCTATTGTATATAGTGCTGCTATCAACATTGTGTGTCTTTTCACATTAGAGTTCCCTCCGGATATATACCCAGAAGTGCGATTGCTGGATCATATGGTAAGTCTATTTTTAGTTTGTTGAGGAATCTCCATACTGTTTTCCATGATGGCTGCACCAAACTACATTCCTACTAGCAGTGTAGGAGGGTTCCCTTTTCTCCACTCCCTCTCCAGAATTTATCATTCATGGACTTTTGAATAAAAGTCTGACTGGTGTGAGGTGATACCTCATTGTAGTTTTGATTACACAATAGCCAAGACATGGAAGCAACCTAAATGTTCATCGACAGATGATTGGATAAAGAAGTTGTGGCATATTTATATAATGGAATACTACTCTGCCATAAAAAAGAATAAAATAATGCCATTTGCAACAACATGGATGGACCTAGAGATCATCATTCTAAATGAAGTAAGCCAGAAAGAGAATGAAAAATACCGTATGATATCACTCATATGTGGAATCTGAAAAAAAG